GGAAAGCGTGCCCGTTTTGCATCACGAGCGACCTGTGTGTTTGGGTGCACACGCGCTCAACACCCCAAACCTTCAATTCAACCTTGCACTCCGGGACCTCAGGCTTTACCAAGATCCCTAAACTTTTACTAGTGCTCTGAACCTAAACCCCAAACCAGGGAGCTCTTTTTGACAAGGCCATCCATAAGACCGTCATGGAAGGTTTTGTAGCCCCGTAGAACTTCGAAATGACTTTGTTGAATCCCTTCATTTGGGCACTTCGGGGCCCCGGTTAAACTCTACCTGAAGCCCCAAGGCCCAAGACCTTAAACAGCGAAAGACATCCTAAACCCTAAAACCCTCCAAAAAAGGCACATGTAAAAACATCCCAAACCCTAAAGCCCCAACCCCAAGCCCTAAACCCTAAAGCCCCAACCCTAAACCCGAAGGCCCCGGATCCACTGCTTCCAATTGCCAGGAGCCCGAGCCCGAAGCGCCGAAAACGCGCAGCCAGCCGTAGCCGGAGCCGCAGCAGGCGGCATCTTCTTCTGGACGGGTCTTTCAGGAGAGATGTATCTATCTATCGATCTATCTAAGTCTATATCTATTTCTGTATCTATTTACACATACATATACATATATGCAATTACATACATGTAGACATAAATATATATATATATAGACCACATGCTACTGAGGCCCCTACATTCCTGTGATCAGTACTATTGTCATTCGCAAGCAGCAAAAGCAGCATGACCCAAACAGTTGTTAAGTCGAATGGGTCTTCGAGCACTGGTTCGCGCTCGTGACCACGTGAGTTGCGGTTACAGGCCGGGGCTTCGGAAAGGCGGTGCTAAACGGCAGGCGTGCCAAGTTCGAAACACTTCTCCTTAAACCCCGAGCTCGAGAGTTGTCGTCATGTTATTGAATTCCGAGGCTATTCCATGTTTGTGCTTTGAAGAGTTTAATGCAGTTTGACCTGCCGGTGTATCCGCCGGCTGTATCGATTGTTCTTGCTCTTCATGCTGGTGATGTTGTCTCTGCTAACTACATCTACTCGTGCACCTCCTACGACGCAGGCGCCGCAGGAAAGAGAGCCCCGCCAAGAAGGAGAAGGGCGGAGGAGGGGCCCCGAACCTCAGAGGGATCGGGGAATCTCAGGCTTCGGATTCGAGTTCCATGAGGGGTTGACAAGTAAAAGATAGAGGGATGGTGGCAAAGAGGCTTTACAACGGAATCTTAGGAGTGCCCCTCAAGCCTCTAACCCGAATCCCTTCAGCGCAGGGTCCATACTCGAGCACTCCCGATGTTGCGTTGATTAATGTTTGTTGTCTTGATGCGCCACTAGTGCCGCGGTCAGAAGAACGGTAGCAGTATCCGTGGCTGCCGGATGGTATAGGTCCCAGGGTTTTTTGAGACTAACAGCTACACCGCAACAAGTCTTGGCCTTGTGTCATGTTGCCGGGCCGAGCCTCAGCCAAAGCCCCAATCCGAGGGGTTTTGGGGCTTTAGAATTTTAAGGTTTCTGCCGTCAGAATCCCTATCAGATTCTGCACCGCAAAAAGCCCAGAGAGCCGCAACCGCTTTAACCCCACACCCGATCCCCGAAAACCTGTAAAGCCCCGGCACACCCCCGAAACCTACACCCTGAGGCCCAACAAAGCTTGCTTTTTGTCATTGGGGTTCGCTCCAACCGAAGACGGGCCCCGACCGCCCAGTCCCTCTCCATAAACACTCTCGCGGCCCTCCTGGGGCAAATCCGGCGTGGGTTGTGGGGTCCAGGGTCTACATGATGTGCCCCCCAAACCCTGAAGAAGGTCAGGTACTTGGAGGATCATGGGACTTAGTAAGTCAGGTCATAAGTACCTTCATTGGGTTATAAGTATAGTTATCCTAATTATAACCCTAGTTACAAAGTCCCATGATCCTTTAAGTAGGATTGGGGATTCAGAGCCCGGGTTTCGGGGCTTCCTTAAAGGGGTTCTGGATCGAGGCTTTCATTGAGGTTCAGATTCAGGCCTCAGAGTTTGGGGTTTATTGCCTTTGTTTAGATAGAGTCGTTGTATTTAAGGTTCAGGGTTGATGATTAAGCTTTCATTGCATACCAGTGTTTTGGATAATCAGGGGGTTTGGGAGCTCTGTGCCAGCTCAAAGGTTCTGAAAGCCCTAAACCCAACATTCCAAACCTTGCCCTGCCGTGTCGGCTATGTGGGCCTCCCGACACAGAACTCTAACCCTAAACCCTAAACTCTCTACGCCTTCAAAACCATAGCTTCAGCACTTTGCCTATCTTTGCCTCGGGAACTTCCAAGATGCTTCTGAAGCGTTCCGGGTCTCCCTGTGTAGCCGGAATTCCATTGTTGTCAGACGTTGCTAGTGCTGTGTATCTTACAATGATGGGTTCTACATTGTACCGGTCTATCAGAGCTTCTGTGGTGCGGTATGCTGGAGTGATGCAAAAAGTGGTTGTAGCAATGCCGAACAGCATCCAGATTGGTGATACACGAGGAGTAGCGTGCCAGAATACCAAGAATGTAAACGGCAACAGCCGGAGTATAGTTGTAAGGATCATCGTCATGTTCGTAGTGCTACTCAGGAAACGAGACCATATCCGTCATCGTCTTCCTTATCTTCCTAAGCGTCGTGATAATCGGGGCAGTTGAAAAGTAGAAGAAGCTGTCATTCCAGTCGAAGCTCTAACCGGAAACCCGAAGCCGTAAACCCTAGGTTCTCTGCCAGGCTCCCGGAGAACAAAGACGCCGGAAATCCCGAGAGTCAGCTGTCCGACAATCCTTTGTATCGTGGGCCTTGCGCAAGTTCTCAGGGTTCTTCTTAAGGAGGGGCTGTTTACCAGTACGCAGTGTGTTCGTGAAGTTGGAAGTTGCCTTTGTGTGTGGGTCCTGGTTCAGGAACCAATCAAGGATCTAACAACTCCATTATTCTAGTCTCGCTGGTGTCGGAAGCCAAGGTTGAAGAGCGTTTGTGTTGGTCTTCCGACAGTGCCCAAGACCCTACGGAGTTTATTATGGTGCTCTACAAAATCCTCCTCTATCTAGGATCTTTGGGGTTCAGTGGCAAGAAGCACGCCAGGCACTTGCCTCTGACCAATCTACTTGCTCCTTCTGTTTGGCTTCGAGTTTCTCCGAAATCAGGGCCTGTAAGACAGCTTCAGGGGCTGAGACGCAACTTGCGACAGCCTTGACAAATTGCACTGTATGCATTTTCACAGGAATCAAGGCCGTGGTTCGTGCTTATGGGTGAAGGCTCTCAGGGCCTGAGTGTTGAGGTTAACTGGGTGAAACACGATTATTATGCCCTAAAGCCCTTTTCTAAAGACTGTGTTGTAAACCCCTTTGGTGTACGGAAGTGTATGGCTTCGGCGTGGTGCTGGAATGGATCAGGCCCATCTTTCGTGCCCTTTGTCGGGCCCACGTTCAGGGTAGTTCCTACGTGCAGAGATCTTCATGTCTGCACCGAAGGATTCATCCCCAAAGTTGGTTTACGGGCAAGCGACACCTAGACAAGCAAAGCATCGGGATCGAATAGAGGAGTCTGAGCTAGGACCCTTCGTGGCCCTGAAGCCCCGAAAGCCCCTAAGCCTGACTAAAACCCTGCGGCCTTAAACGGCAGCCTAAAGCTTCAACGCCGACCGGAACCGAGCCCTTCACGGAAAATGCCATACCCTGATCATCAACGATCCCTGCTTTGGTGCCAGGAAAAAAGTGAACAACTGAGGGGAGCGTCCTGGTGAGACGTGCTGGCTATGCCATGTCGACGTTCACAAGATATATGGAGATGTACCTACCATATGGAAACAATCTAACTAGAGGAAGATGAGGCAGCGCATGCAACAACATTAATACCCGTACAACCGAGAAGAACTGTAGAAGATCGAAGACATGAGCTCGGCGCATCTCACGCTGGGATGCCACTGGTCTCATCCTCGGTCGTGAAAGCAGGGTTGTTCAGCACATCGCCGGAGCGAGTTCATGATGTTCAAGATCTCGAAACACGAACCCTCCTTGAGCAACTCGGCTGCGTAGGCAACCCCATCGCTCCAGCCATCCAGCTCGAAGCTTGGATTGGGCCATGCTGTGGAACAACCCCCAACCTAGCGGCTGATCCACTGTTGAAGGAAGCAGGGAATCAGCGAATATTACTTGAAAGGCTGGCAGCAGCTCCGCAGAGGGCTGAACGGGCGCCGGCAGAAGCATGGCACTATCGCGGGAAAGGGGGCCCTGATAACAAGTCATTCCTCCTGGCTCCTTGGTACAAGCTCTGGCTGCTAGCATTTGTCTCATTGTTGCTGGCCAAGTTGGTGGCCCTCTTGCCCTTGCATCAGTGTGATTAGTTTCGGGGGTGGTTGAGGAAACCGGTAAATTACGTCCTCGTCTGACACATCTTTGGGGTCTTGGAGCCTTCCGCTGTCGGCGTTTGGGTGCTAGGACTCAAGCTTAAAGGCCTCCTGAATCCCGCAACCCACCCCTGAATCCTGAACCTGAGCTCCCGAAATCTTTCGTTGTTTCTGGCAGTTGAGCGGTTTAGCTCAGATCTGGGGCTTTTAGGATCGAGGTTTAGGGGCTTTAGGGTTCTGGGGCGACTGCCAAGTGCGTGGGGCTTCTCCCGGAGGATTTTGCCCGATGCACACGGCCTGGGCCTGGGCCGAGGAGCCCTCGACCACCGAGTGAAGTCGAGACAAAAAGGACAGCCGTGTGGAGCGAGCAAGAGGCATGTGTGAGAAGAAACCGAGGGGATGGCAAAGATAGCTCGAAAATTCAAGCTTGGCTGTGTCAAAAATCATTCGCAGAAGGATTTGAACATGACCTGAGGAAATAGCAGAATAGCAGTCATAGAAGCGTGGCAGCTCAGTAGGTGGACGAGCAAAGGACAGACAATCATGGTTGCCCAGCCGTAGGAGCAGTTAGCAACTTCCCTAACCTCCGAGCCCGAAATTGCCGGAATTCCCGTAACCAAAAACTCCCCAAGTTCCGAATCCTAAACCCAAAGGAACCCTGGCGCAGGTGAGGATCGTCGATGCACCGGGCGTTAACGACGGCGTGGCGGCGGAGGCCTGGAATTCATATTGCATGTGTCAAAGGACATATGCTCAGGTTTTGGAGGGACAGAGAAAGGAAGCAGGTTCAGTGTTCAGGGCTGAGTGCTTCTGGAAGGTCAAGCCCTGGAGCCCAAGCCCAACCTTTGTTAACCCTAAACCATGGGAACCCAAACGTCAAGTCCTAAGCCCGAAACACCTCACCGAACTGCCGAACGGCACAGTCTGCAAACCCCACATGAAGCTCCACAACACTTGATACAAAAAACGAAGAAGACCCTGATAAATGCATCTCATTCTATCAGCCTGCGTACGGAACCTCAGTTCCGCTCAGAGTTCTATGCATGGATCCAGTTATTAACCCCGAGTGTGTTAAAATGGTCTCCCGAAAGGATTGACGTTTACTGCTAAGGTAACCCCAGGCCGCACTTCATCCGAATCGGCATGAAGCTATAAAGTCCTTTATACTTTCCCAGGCCCAAGCATGCCAAGACCGGGCAGAAAACAGGCGTATCAAGGCAAGCAGCATTATGCTTAAGGGCTTAAGGGGTAGAGCATTGAGGGTCTCGAGAAGCAGAGTGAGTCTAGGGAAATGCAATTCATAGAGTTGAGGGCTTGGGGGCAAAACAAGCTCAGGTCTCGGGGCTTAAGAGGCAAAGGGGCTATAGGTTCTTGCATGTGAGACATGAGGGTTTACGACGCATTGTGTTTAGGGCTCAACGGGCTCATTAGGGGCAAAAAGTAGGACAATGTTGAGTCCTATTGAGTTCAGGGCTCGGGGTTTAAGGGCGTTGAGGGTCTGGGGTGTCGGGTTTAGGGCTGAAGGTTTAGAAAGTTTAAGATGCAGGCTTTTGGGAGATTGCGGATGTCAGTATTGCTTCATGGCCTATGGGGTCCAGGATTTCGGGGGGTTTGGGTTTAGGATTTAGGGTTCGCAAATGTGCGATCGAGTCGTCGTTGGAGTTTGAGATGTAGGGTTTACGTTGTCCTTCGTGGTAAGGGTTTTTCTTCGTGTGGAGCATTTGAAGCAACGCTTGTTCGTGTTCGTAGAGGTCTTAGATGCGTCTCTTTTGGGGTCTGTATAAGATAAGGTGCATGAATCGGCAGCTTAGGCTTGCATAATCCCCTGCGAGAACAACATCCCCGGAGCATGCGATAGCCTCGTGACCTGAACTCCTCAGTACGGTTATCGCTAGATCTTTTTGAACCCAGAGAAAGTTGCAAACACCAGGTCCCTCCAGCTTTCGAGCGTCGATCTTTCACGCACCTTCCCAATGCCGAACACTTGCAGCATAATGTAGTTGTCAAGACCACGGCCCCAATTGAACCTCTACAGCACTCAACCCTGAAGCCTCAACAATTCCCTAGAGAGTCAATGCCGTCAGCTGTTGTCGAAGGCAAGAGGCTTACAGGGCGCTAGCGATCTCAGCTCGGAGGCCTGAAACCAGCTCTTTGTTGCTCCTTGAAGGGTAGGTACCCTTAGGCGATTGAGATCCGGGGTGCGGCCGGGGGGGGGAGGTGTCGGGTTTAGTTCATCAGTTCCAGAGAAGGAATAGAGAAGGTGCCCGATTACACGGACCCCGAAACTAGGAAACTCCCTCGGCCGAGATCTTCTATTTCGTGGTCGCACAAGAATTACAGGCATTGGTGGTTCAGTGGATGCTCATTTCATGTTCTGTACAACTGAGCCACACTCATTATAAGTTTCTCAGCCGAAACTATCTTCATCGTTCTCAGCAACACCATTCTCTGGAATGCCTGCTAAACGAAGCTTACGAAAGGGTTTGTTCAAAGAAGCGATGCTAAGAGAACTGCTCTCCCTGACTCCACCTTCAGCCAAAACGGTTGGCAAACCGTGCCCTCAAGCGACAGCAGCAAGCAAAGGAAATGAGAAGGTGATCCCACGATCTCCTAGCCCCTAGGTTCCTCCTTCCTTTCTGGGAAGGGGTACTACCACTACTACTACTACTACTACTACTACTACTACTACTACTACTACTACTACTACTACTACTACTACTACTACTACTACTTCTTCTGCTACTACTACTACTACTACTACTACTACTACTACTACTACTACTAGTACTACTACTACTACTACTACTACTACTACTACTACTACCACCGATACCACTGATACTACTGCTACCACTGCTACTACCTACTGCCACTACTACTCATCCGTCAAAATCTGTGCTGTTCCAAACCCACCCTCTTATCCGCAGACTGAAACGAGCCGCGCCACCACGGACAACCATGAGGCTGAAAGCGTGCGCCTCACGTTTCACCGCTGTATCAGCTTCGTGTGATGAGGGTGTGCTGGCATCACATGGGGGCTGGATCGGCGAGGTTGGGAACTCCTTGCAGTGTGGGCGGTTGGGTGAGGTTTGGCTGCTTAGAGCTGCCTGGTAAGTTTGGTTGTGTGGTACGGCCGGGGAGATCTCTCATTCTCGGGTTAGGTGCAGCGAGCTTCGAATGTCCGTCGCATATGACCCCACAGCGCCCAAATCTGAAAGACAGCATATGAAGACAGAGAGAGAGTTATGATATCCCACAGCCCATACAACCAAGCCGAGGCAGCGATGACGAGTCGGACCAGTACTTCCGTTCTGCTAATGTCAGCCGCGAGGAGGCAGGGAAGAAGCTTGCGGAGCCGGCTTGCCATAAGAAACAAAGCCCAGAAGCTCACGTTCCACCACGCAACGGCAACAAGAATCTCAGCAGCGACATCAAGGACGACGACCAGACTCGTAAGCCCGAAGCCACACTGGCAACGGCACAGTGACGACATCAGCATCAACAGCCAGCAGCAGCCAGCAGCAGCAGCAGCAGCAGCAATAACAACAACAACAACCACCAAAGCCATGAAGGCTGAGAGTTTCAGTCCCACGAATAGGTGAAAAGCATTAGTTGCGGTTGGGTGTCCTGCAGGTAAGAAGTGTCCGGATGCATTGTTGCCCTATTTGGCTTGAGAAGACGTTCTTCTCGTCCGATTCCGCCTGTGCAAAGTTCCATCGTCGCAGCCCCATAAACGAAAGTAAAGCATGCACCTGAGTTCAAGCTTGGATACCGAAACCGAAACACTGTGCAGACTCTGAAGTTCCCGACGGCAGAAGTGAAGATGAATGGGTTCGAGGCCTTGGGTGTTTGCAACCATGGACTCAAAAGCACGCAAACAGAAAGTATTGAAACCTGTTCCGGTTGCAAGATTAAAAAGTGTCTGCTGGGATTTTCTCACGCTCTTATGCATGAATGGCTTGTCCGACGGCCCTAAAGCTCTTGTCCGAAATCTGACTGCATAGGCTGGCTCGCATCAGAAGAGCTCTTCCAGCCGCGATGACAGCTGATTGTGTCAGGGCATGTGGGTGCACAGGATATAGTCTTTGGAGAACATCTGTAAAATGTAAGGATCCGGGCTTGTTTTGGGCTTCAACGGCCTTCGCGTGGCTGCCACCAGAAGTAGGCCGCAAGAAAGGGTTATTCAGTTTAGGGTGAGGGGGACGGCGTTTCACAACAGATCAAGCAGGCGGCCCCGTGAATCGCACGAGGCCGGTTCCAGCTACATCTTGGCGTCGGAGAAATTCTGCCCAACACACATTTAGTTAGTTCGCCATAGGCATTATTGTCGTGGTTCTACCCTGCATGCTCTAGAGGTTCTCAATGAGGTTCCTCGGTACTCTAAATTGGCTACTTTGGCTTTCATGCTGCTCAGATGCTAGGCTCCAGAGGCCCGAATGCCCCCGAGCTACACTCTCGACATTCACGGGGGAGCCCAAGAGCAAGATCTCCGGAGTGTTTCGGGCACCGCATGCAGGAATGATCACCCTAATCGGCCCTAATCCCTAATCCCTAAGCACTAGGCCTGAAGCCCGCCCAGCAAGTTAAAGGTCCGCAGCCAGCCTCATGTCCTTGGGTTCGGAACTCGAGTTGCAGAACCCCTCGTAATTTGAAGTTGTGTACAGGTTCTGCCTACCGCTTAAGGCGTAAGGGTTTTGCAAGGGTGCTTCTGGACAGCTGGCATAGGAATATAGGACGGTGTCTTCAATCGATCTAGGGCATCGTAGTTGTTGGGCCTCTGAAGCTTCTCCCACATATTTGCGTTGGATTTATCCTGAAGATATATTGAAGGGAGAGGCCATTACTAACAAAACTCCTTCTGAGAAGATCCTCGTCAAAGCTTCAGTCTATCTAAAGGTTAGGTTCTGTTCTGGACAGGCATCTTGAGCAACTGCATCGGGTTCAGCACATGGGAGATTCCGAAAATTAAGGGGTACCTTGTTTTGGGGTCCATAGATAATAAGGATCCTACTGTTTAAGGTAATTACTCTATCAGGGTCCCCTGTTTTCGGAAACTCCCACATTGGGACTTTGCCTCTTCTAGTCGGGGAAGCCCTGTCTTGGAAGCTTCGGGGGTTTAGGGTTTAGGGTTTCGGTAGCCTAGTTGCAGAAACTTTCAGTTTCTGCCTGTAGTCTGGGACGTGCAAACCATAGGCGCGAAGCCCCAAACACAACAACCTAATCTCCCCATAAAGCCTGGAACTCGAAGAAAGAAGTGGACAGAAGCATCCCAAATCCTAAGCCCAAAGTGCCCATCAAACCCTGAGCCCTAAGCCCAAAAACGAATAGCACGAGATCGTTGAAATCTGGGCTCGAGACTTCACTCGGGATTGGGCGCCGGCCCTATCTCCGGAGGCGCTTCTAGTTTAGTGCCTAGGTTTTAGTTAAGCATCTAGGGTTCAGGGGGCTTAGCTGGGTTTTGCATTTAGGATTGCGGCCTTAGTGGTGGTTTGCCACTTGGAGTTTCGGATTTGAGATCTATCCGCTTAGGGCTCAGGACGTGATGCTTGACCTCGAAGCTTCCACTGTGTGCGCATCCTTTCATAGGCAACCACACAACCCTTACGCAGTCATCACCTTGGCTCTTGTTAAGGAAGTTCATTTAAGCTACCATATACGGCAACCATATCTTCTATTCTAGATCCCTCTTGTGATAGCTGGATTAAGTGTTGGCATCTCATTTTCAGAGGACAACAGCAGCAGTGTGTAGGATTTGAGATTGCAGCATTCATGGGGTTTCAATGCTGTTTAGGGTTATGTTCTTCGAGCTTTGAGCATTGTGACTTTTGGCGCCTGCATCGTTTGTATTCGCCTGAGTCTGCTTGTGAGGTTTTGGGTGCTGTCTTTTACCGCTGCAGTCCCAAGAACCTCGTTGACGGGACATCTTGCATCTTGGGTCCTTGCATGTAGTCCAATAAGGTTCTTTCACATCAGGCGTTCACGAGCGAACCTCTTCTCCAGTTTAGGGCAGCCTTGTCAGCGGCTCAGAAAGCCCAGCCCGACGCGAAAGTGCAAAGATGCATGAACCGAGCAGACGACGTCCCCATCCAGCCCCAACTAGATTTTGGTTTGTGGCATCCTTCACCAACTCTTGCGCTTTCCAACGCAGCTATGTCCCAGTACAGTAAACACCTTCATCCTCTACAGGGCCCCCGAGCTACTTGTATTCACTTCTGCATTGTAACTTGCAAAGGCAGGACGAAACGAATCTGATGCCTGCCTTACTCACCCTGGATTGCAAGCCGTAGGATGCAGGCAGAAACCTTCATTTCGGTACGTCGAACCAACATTAATTGCAGCTGGGCTGCGCTCATGTTGCCAGCATGGCCTTGCACAATTGTCGAAGCGCTGTGCGCGGAGTCATTTCATCGGTTCCAGCGCGCTGCAGTTCCACACAGCCTACTTTCACGGTGCTCCTAAGAAGGGAAGGACGTTGGGCATTTACGCGACCAATCACAACGACGACAGTGTCTGCGGGTCTTCATCATACTTGTGCAATCAAGACAGATGGGCAGCTGGTTTGTTTCGGAGGGAACTCCAGTGGCCAGTGCACCGTCCCATCCGGTTTGGGCCCTGTGTTGGCTGTCTCGGCCGGCTGCAGTCACACGTGTGCAGTGCGAGCAGATGGGAGACTCGTTTGCTTCGGAAGGAACTCAGAGGGCCAGTGCAACGTGCCCGAGAGAATGGGGCCTGTCGCAGCAGTGTCTGCGGGTTGCTATCACACCTGCGTTGTGGGGACGGATGGTCAGCTGGTCTGTTTCGGGGAGAATCATGATGGAGAGTGCGAAGTGCCAAGAGACTTAGGCCCAGTGCATTCGATGTCGGCTGGGATGTGCCGGACTTGTGCCACGAGAGCCGATGGTCGTCTCTTCTGCTTTGGTGAAACTCCTCGTGGCCAATGCCACGTTCCTGGTGACTTGGGTCCGATACGAGATGTCTCCATGGGCGCCGGTCATACATGCGCTGTGACTGCAGATGGAAGCCTGGTCTGCTTTGGCTTGAATAATTATGGCCAGTGTGCTACCCCAAGAGACTTGCGTATGGCCGTGGCAACCTCTGTCGGCAAGTACCACTCCTGTGTTCTCAGTGCGGACGGAAAACTGTTTTGCTTCGGGGATAACTTCGAAGGCCAATGCGACGTTCCCTCAGATCTGGACACGTTTCTCGCCATGTCTACAGGCCTTCGCCACACCTGTGCTGTCGCAATCGATGGTCAGCTGGTTTGCTTCGGAGAGAATTACCAGGGCCAGTGTAATGTGCCATCGGGCTTGGGCCCAGTCCTGACAATGTAGCTCTTCAACGTGTAAATCCGGATAAAAATCCTCAGGATTGAACTTGCCTTCCAAAGCATCCGAAGGCAAAGTCTGCATGGTTTCATCAAACTTTCGGCCGATGTTCGGCCCCACCGGTCTTCGCTCCTTTCGAAGAGAGGCCCTCAACTCTGAACATCCAGGCTCTAAGCCGGAGGATCACACAAAAAAATGCCTTCGCAACTGTGAGCTCTCAGGATGTAGAGATTGGCTGTGTCGGGCTGTTTGGGTGCAGGGCAGTCTGAAGTCCATGAATTGCTAAGGACATATTCAGAATTGAAAGCTGTGCCTAAGCATCTACACCCTTATACTGGGTTTCGTGCGGCTCTCCTCCCCGGATGGTTCACTCCCCACCTGCTGCAGACACTAGGATTGTCTAGTGCTTGGAGCTGACAGCATATCGAATACACAGCAAAGATGCTTTCTGTTAGGTTGTCCGAATCCTACATGGGAGGCTCATTTTGCTAGTGTTATCCATGAGCGGTTTCCATGGCATGGCAAGTAGTAGCTTCACAGACATCTGCCAGGAGTGAGGGCTGAGCTTCTTCTTGTGCTTTTGTCGCTGAAGCACGAGCTCAAGACTCGCGGGCGGGCGTGTTAGCACAGCAACTGGAATGAAGCCTTGCCTGCTCCGCAGTGTCCTGCTGATAGGTCTTGCTGCTCAGGCTGGGGCAGGCTCTCGAAGCCTGGAGCACCTGCGTCAGGCGCAGGAGCTGTCTGCCGCAGGGCAGCAGCATGCTGCAGTTGCAAGCGTCCGGGAGGCCCTTCGACTCGAGCCCTCGAGTGGGGAAGCACATCAACTGTTGGGGCAACTCTTGGCCTCCCTGGGGGACTTGGCAGCTGCCAGGCAGAGTTTTGCGGAGGTCACACGTCTGAACCCCACTTCGGCAGGAGCCTGGGCCAATCTAGGCTACATCCAGTCTGTCGCCGGTAGCATGCCCTCAGACATCGAGAAGAGCTACCAGACAGCCTTACGGCTTGAGCCCGAGAATCTGAAATCCATCAAAGGCCTCGCCGAGCTGAAGCAGGCCCAGTCGGATTACGCTGGCGCCGAGAAGATGCTGCTGACGGCAGTGGATAAAGCAAAAGCTCCAGATCCGTCTCTCCATGTGAGCTTGGCCTCTCTTTATGAAGATCTTGGGAGGGATGGCGCTGCGGCGAAAGCTTACAAGGCAGCCATCAAGCTCGATCCCTCCACTGGCCTCGCCCACCTCGGCTTAGGACGTTTGCAGCACAAGCATGGCAAGTTGCGGGCGAGCGAGAAGAGCTACCGCAAGGCCATCGAATTCGTGCCCGAGGAGTGCGAGCGCTTCGACATTTACAAGTGGCTTGGTATTTTCCTGGCAGCGCGGGGTGCCAACGAAGAAGCCACCCGCATCTTGACGCGCGCGGTGCAGCTGCGGCGGGAGGCATGGACCGCTCTTGGAAATGATTTTCAACTGTAGTGAGCTATGTATAGAAGGGTGTCCCATGCACAGTTGAGAGGCAGGCCGGCTCACAAGCTCGCTCATCATGAATTTACCAGATGAGACGCTGTATCTCGAAACTCGTCGAAAAGATGCTGCAGCTTTCGCCGACGCCTGCCGAGAGCCGGCCCTGAGGAAGCTGGATCATTGTTGGTATTGAATGGATTTCCATTTTCATGATCGGCATATTTAGTAAGCACCCTATAGGAGATAGCAGGAAGTGTTGGAGATTTTTGGATGTGTGATAACTTTTCCCCGAAAGAGTGCAGGAAGCTGCCCTTGGCCTTGACAGCGGTTCGATCACTGGAGTCGGACGAAGCCTGGCTTGTGCCTAGGCCCAGGTCCTGTAGTTCTGTGAGGGGTTCCCCGCTCTTTCTTGGGTTAAGGATAGTTAAAGCCGTCGCAAGAGGAATACCTTCTAGTATGGTAGCCTACGGCCTTCTATATTCTGGCTTGTTGGAAAACATCTATAGGTTCCGTTTCTCCTCGAGTCCGTGGCGGTGTTCGGGCTGTCGCAGAACCGGCTCGGCACCGCATCTTCCTTTGGTTCAGTGTGGTTCACAGGATTTCGCCGAGTTATGGAAACAGCCTATGCGCACTCGTCTCGAATGGCCGACGAGCGGCCACTTACCTTCGTCATGGGAAGTGGCCTGGGAGAGCAATGTTTCTTTGCAGCTGCTTTGGGGATGTCTTGCATCGGCTACGATGTGCTTTGCAACTCAACGGTGAGTCAGGCCGGTCGCATTGTATCCGAGCACAAGCTGGAGCAGCTCGCGATCAGACATCTTTGTGGCAGTGCAGTAGAGAGCGAGGGCTTAGAAGAAGCAGCGGCTGTCTTTCTCAACGACTCTCGTATGTCGCATTATGCAATAGTTTTTCTATTTATGCGGGTTCTGAAACCCCGCATGTAACACCACAAGGCGAACACCCTGAACCTCAAATCCTAAACCCAGCGAGGCGAGTTCTACGCAGCAAGCTTAGAGCACTGCCGGCGAACGCAAGCGAAATCCTAAACCCAAAGCCGCCGAAGCAGGGGTACACCCACTGCGAAGCTTATCTCCGAGCTACGAACTTCAGACGGGAAGCCCATAGTTTAGACAGATGTGTTTCACAAGTCCTTTGGAAACAGACTTTGTTGTCCCAGCTTGCAGTTTTGGCTTTCCAGCTTGCAGCAATTCATTCCATGTCGAGCCCGTTTGTTTCACAAGATTCTGATATCTCAAACTTCTTGTCAGTCCCCGCCACCTGACAAAAGCCTAAAGACCCTGAGCCTTCAAACTGAGGCGAACGATTCTATTATCGTTATCAAAAACCATTATGATTATGATTAGTATGATAATTACTGTTATGACATCCAAGGATTACTCTTTTGAGCAGCCTTTGCATGAGCAGCTGGAGCTTCATCTTGCTCGCAAGCTTCGATCAGGAGCCGTTGTCGCTTCCTTCTCACCGTGGACGCACGAAGCTGGATTCGCCCTTGTTGCAACTGTAGAAGTCGAGACATCTTGGGGCGATGTGCCGGTGGAGATCCGCTTGAAGAAAGAGTGCCTGGAGGCCACGGCCTTCCCAACGGCTCTTCGCCCCCTTTGAACCCATACAAATAGAATTTCGCATAGTCGGCTTCTGCATTACATGGGCCTCGAATGCGCTAAGCAGGATCGCACAGTAGCAAGTTTCAAGGTTTGGGGGCGCTTAGGGCGATGCAACGAGGCAAGATATACGGAAAATGCTGGCAAGGAGGGCCCCTTTCTGTTTCAACACCAAGGCAAGACAGCCAATCTGAAAAGCAAAAGGAGTAGTCTTCAACTTAATGTAGGTTAGGGATCTTAATATGAATCCTGCTATTTTGGGTGTTACAGGCCCCGGGGTTTCTTAATCAGATTCCTACATTATTAAAAGGTTTCAACAGCGCGCATTGGTAGGAGCTTCAACTGTTGCAGGTGTGACACAGGGTCTGCTGCAGACTGCAGATGGGCTCACAGAAACTTAAAAGCCCTCAAACCCCCACACCCTCAACCCGAGATACAACCCTGAACCGATGGGCCGTGCATCAAAGCCCGGGAGAGTCTAATTAGTCAAAACCCGGATCTAATAATTCAGGCCTCAATATTGAACCCCTAAGCCCATCTCCAAGACCTCAGCCCTTGCACCCCACACCCGAGCCTCCCTTCCAGTGGTGAATGGTTATAGGACGTGAAAACATCAGGCCAGGGAATTCTCAGAAATTGTACGGTTTATGACCCTTTTTCTTTTCCTCAATATTGGGATCCCCATGGTCCTCATCGAGGGAGGGTGGTTTGTTGTTAACCAGCGGAACATATTTTGCTATACCCATGCTTGCACCCCCAAGATTGTGCTCTCGACAATGGTCCCTCCATTGCCTGGGGTCCCAATTCCTCGATGCCCTCCGCATACCCCTAAAGGCTAAAGCAAACCCGAAGCCTCCGAGAAGCTTTGGGAGCCCGATGACACTCGACACGCTCAACACTAGAATGAATGACGTCCACATCAGCCGGCAATGCCCTTAAACAGGGATCACTGTGCAAGTGCAGGGAGTGCTATCACGACTTACGCACCCCGGAACATCGGCCCTAGAAGCATTATCAACCCTTTAAACCTCCCCCCACCCCACGAAAAATGTCTTCCCGACCTAAACCTCTGGGCCCGATCCCCTTTCTTTCTGTGATCTGTTGAGGGCCATGGGATCCAAGTGCTGTTCCGGCGAGGAGGCCAGGAGCATTGTGAACCCCTGCAGAACCCTATGGAACAGAGCATAATATGGGCCCTGTAGTATAGAACTTGGGAGGGTGTAGGGCTTAGGCTTAGCGTTTGGGGTTTAGGAGTTTGCATAGACTGGTATAGGACTTTCAAATGCCCAATAGAACGTTGCTTTGGGAACTCGGGGAGTGTAAGATGATTGGGCGTTGGGTTTAAGGCTGTAGTAGACTAGGGAGGTGACGTTTAGGTTTTGGAGGCTTTCTGGCGAGGATTAGTAGGTCTACGGTTTGGCGTTTCACGTTTAGGATCCTGTGAGAGGGTTGCGAGATCAGGTTTTGTGCCTTCGGTTCAGGGCTGCTGAAGATGAGGTGCCCTGGAATGATGAGAACGGGTTCTCTAGAGCATGTGTGGTGGAAGCGGCAACGATTGCATTTCGGAGCCCTGGACTGCTTTGATCTGCTATGTTGATCCTCTCATCTTGTGAACATCTTGTGGAACACCTGGCGAAAGCTTCAGAATGTTCACAAACCCTGGCTTTCCTCTGCGTTACACTCGGTCAGTTCTCCGGGATGCACGATCGACTTCGAAGAACTCCATTCAAAGCAGACTTCGCTGCTGCTTAGCGTGTGGTATCCATAGCATGAAGCCATAGAAGGCAACTGGTCTAGTCGCCGAAGCCTCTAAACTGCAGACATGTCTTGACACAGCAATAGTAACAGCACTGACTGACAGAATTGGATGCATACTCGGCACCCTATCCGAAGTCATGACTCGGACACCTGCTGGAACCACAGCCGAGTAAACATGTGCATCAGAACAAAGACAACACAGCGTTTCATGATGGCAGTGCGAAGCATTTCTGCATTGAAGCAAAGAGTTCGAATGGCCTTGAGAGACGATCGTAATGGTCCACAACGCGTCCAAGATCTTATCATGCAACAGTCTGGGTCTACATTAAGGTCCTCACACCCTTGGGATGGAGCCTCTCCGGACAAGCTGCAAGCCCACTCGCATTGCTTCCAGGCCACTGATTCCGGCCAAGATGGCCGCAACGAGCGCGTGCATGCTGCGTCGGGGGGCCCGGTGCAGAGTCCCGCATGGCTTGTGGATTGGAAATTCGGGACCCTGGTCTAGACCTGAAATCGCAGACTCCCTCTATAAGGCCTCAATTAACATACCCTGGTCCGAAGACATCTTCGCATCAGGCTCAAGGTTTAGATTTATCCAGGCTCCTGATATCTTGGACCCCATTGTTGGGGTTCCTTACTATAATTAAAGTATACTGGGCCCCAAACCCTATTCTAATTATTAGATTCTCATGGCGTTCCGCGTTCGTTATTTGGGGCTTCATGCTTGGTGCTCGCGTTCCCGCTCTGATTCGGGTATTGCTTGGAGCTAGTATACCCTCTGATCCGACTCCGGCTGCCTTACATCATAGTCTGAATATTGAGTTTCCAAATTCCATGCGATACGGAGAAGACCAGCTGTTGCGGCGGCACTGAATGTCCACGCGGTCACAAGCCAGAGAGCTTTAAACGCAATCTTCGGTGCCGCTGACAGGAGCTATCGAGAGGAAGTGATCAAGGCCCCATGCGGGTTGCAGTTTCCGCATTTATCAATATTGGGTAGCTTTGAGTCTCAATAACTACCTTATTCTGGCCAGCATTTTGCTCATTGGTGTTGGCTGCTGCTGTAACAACTATTTTGTGAAATCGTTCTCGTTCCTGCCACCAAATAGTGCTTGTACAGCTTCTGGCACGACCGCCTACAGCCCTGCCATCCTAGCTCCTAACCGTAAGCACCATCAACCGAGGAATTTCAGGAATGTGGGATTGCAATTTCATGATATAGTTTATCAGGAACACTGAACTCTGATCCCTAATTCCTACGCCCCAGTTCCTAAGCCTCAGGTCTTGACGGAGTTGTGTGTTCCTTTGCCTTGGGCTCTGCGGGGATTTCTCAAGATGGCACCGAGTCTGAACTGAGTAGACTCCTGTTGAGTATTTTGGATTTTGGGTTCCCGGTCGGGTCAACTGCCAGTCTGGGCCCTGCCTCTTGATTTCGAGTGTAAGCTCATTGATAGATACGGTACAAGGCGTGATGTCAACTGCGCAGCACTAGACCCTGAGCCCGCAAGCCAAAATCTGAACCATAAACCCCTAAATCCTAGGCCCTGAACCCTGCAAAAAGAAACAGACCGGCGATGCTAAACCAATTTGCAAAACGACTCCCACTGCGCCTCCTGTCAGGACGAGAATGCTCAGGCGGGACCAAGTTTAAAACCTTGTGCGTTGCAGGCATTTACAGTAGTTAATTACTCGTGTTGACGGCTTCAGGTTATATATTATCGTGTTGCTGATACATTCGCTACTTGTTTTCCGTTGTTTCTAGGGTTCAATAGAAGGCCGCAAGGTTTTCGCAATCAAGGTTATGCTTGTTTCTGGAGATTCGGTTCGTTTCTTTCGGGTTTGTGCTTGCGGGCGTCAGGGTTCCCGACTTTGACGTTTGAGGCGTTGGAGCGTTTAGCACTTGTTGCGAGTTTCCTTATGACTTCGATGGTAGTTTCGGGTGTATTGCATTCGAGAATTTGGGGTATTCAGGCTGTCTCGGGTACAGTTGTTGGGTTTCCGGGTGGGGGTTTGCTTGACTCCCAAACCCTCAGCCCTGACTCCTAAATCCTCGGCCTTCATATCCCAAACTCCCGCTCTGCGCAGGGCATCTCCATTTCAGCCTTGGCAAAGCGGCCCAGTGTGTCAGGTGCCCGGAGAATCCATGGGGTGGACCTTAAGGACGAAAGGAACCCTACAAAGCAGGGGAATGTAAACCTAAGACCAGGGACCCCAACTCTTTGAGTGTTCATTTGCTGCTGAAGAGAGGGATTCAGAGATGGGGTTTAGTGTTTTGCACACTTCAGCTTTCGAGCAAGGTTGTTAGTGCAGGAATCCTGGAGGCCCATTACAAGCCGGCTTCGGACCACAGTTTATGGCAGATATTGGTGGTGGGGCCTTGGGGATCTGACTCGCAGGTCGTAGCAGATGTAGCAGATGACTTGAGGAGTGCGTGCTTGCAGAATCGCGGCGCTCTGCTTTTGGCGGGCTTCGGATCGAGTTGCATGACAGCAGAATCTAGTGGAGCAGGAACGGCCCTGAACCAAGCCCCCTGAAGTCTTCAGCCCTCCAAGGAAAGAAAGCAGAGAGTTCACGATAAAGCTGAAAAAGGTGCCCCGCGGGTCTTGAACCGGTCTTTTCACTGCCAGATCAGGGTCTACGGACTTGGCTTCGGAGCAGAGGTTCTGGAATCCAGCTCTAAGTCCCTCGTCAAGACTTGCAAATACAAGCTGCAAAACATTGCGGAGGCCGATACATCGCGTAGCAACTGATTGGGAACTTCTAGACTGCACACCAACCTTTATGGAAGAAAGGCTTTGCTACTTCCGCTCAACCCCAGGCCCTTAGCGCTAAACCGAACGGAAGTGAGCCGCATCCCCGTAAACCCAGGTGCCTGAATAATCCGCAGCAGTGTTTCGGTTGTGTGAAGTCGGGTCTTGTGGCTTCCTATAACTATGGTCACCTTTGTTCATATAAATCCCATAAGAGAATATACAAATATTATTTATGGTTCTAAGCGGGCTATAGAGAAAGGCGTCCGAGTGTGGGGACCCGAGCCTTCGAAAAAGTCAGCTATACTGGTCCCGAGAGCTCTCGAACATGACCATTGTACCGAAACCTCCAAAACCCTAGTCTCGTTATTCAGGCATTTATGGGAGGGGCTTGATAATTAGATTGGGTTTTGGGGTTCCTGATTACAATTATGGTATAATGTACCCCCAAAACCTAATTAATTATAAAGGCCCCTACATTATGTGAAAGGGGCTTCCGGGATGAGGGATTCCAGGTCGAGGGTTTCAATGAACCCAAACGAAGCTAACTTCAAGTGCTGACTCTTGAACATCTTAGGTGTATCTTTCAACTCGAATCCCGGAACCTGAATCCCAAAGGGCCTGAGGTTGTCCTGTCGTATGCGGGATGAAAAGGCTTTGGGCAGTGGAGCCTCTGGGCTGGGGCTCACCTCCGGAAAGTCTGCAGATATATGAGGGTTTACAAGACTTTTACCGCGACTCTCTGAATTAAGTCTCCTCCGAAAGCCTCAGAATGATAAGAATTTCAGGGAACTCCATGAGCATCCTTTACTTTTCTGAAGCTCGAACGTGCATAGCCAAAACAGGATGTCGGAAAGTAGACCGTGCCCACACATCATTGGGCCAAACCTAGACTCCAAACTTGGGTTCGTAGGGGTTGGTATGATCCTGCAAGCAATACCTCTGCCAAGCCCTGCCATGAACTTCCCAAAATTTGTGTTTTGGCAGCGTCCCAGCAAGCTCTACACTCTGGTTGAACTCTACCGTACCCCTGCAAAGAAAGCAAGACCGCAAGCCTCGAAACTCATCCCCAGGACCTTTGAGCGAAAGGTAACCTTGAAGCAACCCCTACACCGAAACCCCAGAAGCATCCCTATAAACGACGAGCAGCTCTTTTGCCAGACCCTCGAGCAGTCTCGGCTTGGCATCGATGTGGACCTCACCGATGGGGTCGGGGTGGTGGTGGAACAGGCCAAACCCGTAAACCGCGAACCTTAAGTGTAAAGGCCCTCCAAGAAGGACGTAGAAAGGCTGAAGCAACACGGGTTCACAAAACACTCACAGGGCCTTCTGAAAAAGAGGCTTTAGGGATCTCACTACTCACGGGTTGATAACATAGGCCGCTACTCACGGGTTGATATGGGAGTGCTTGGATATTCTGAAACTTCAACTTCGATAGCTTTGAGGTTAAGGATTTTAGGATTGCAGCGGCTTTGAGGTTCAGGTCCCACGCCGTTCGGATTGCTGGGCGTTTTCGGTGTAGCGGGGAGGGGTGGAGGCCCAGCGGCTGCTTCTGCGAGTTATTGGTGTCTTTGGTGTCTTTTGTAAGGGTTTCAAGCTTGCGGTGGAGCTTTTGGATCTCAGGGAGGCAGACAGCTTCGACGGAAAAGCTCCAAAATCCCGAAGCCTTTGATTTAGCCATGCGCTTTGATTTCTAGTGTGAGTCTTAATCAAGTTTGAGGCATCTCAATCCTGAAATCAGCAGGTCTAGAAGTCGCGAAAGTGGGCGGGCCGCAACCTATGGGCCCCTTGGAAACCAGCTTTCTTCAAGTCGCACAGGCATCTGAAGACTTAGTGCTCATATTCCGCTGTAGTCTCTGTATACATAAATTGTAATGTGTGTTCTGTATAGGATGACCCTCATCAAAACGCAGGTCCCTCATATTGAGAAACCTCATCTGCAAGGGGCTTAACATGAGGATCTCCATTCGAATCCTCAGAACGAGAGGTTGGGGGGCTGTTGACCAGGAGCTTACATTGCTAGCTGCTGTCGGAGAAGCCTGTGACATCACTTTGGATAAAGACTTCCAAAGCAAGCTTACAACAAAAGCTTAAGCATTCTACACCCACCCCCACCCCCCCGGCCCACAACTAAACTCATCCCCAAGCCCTAGGGCTTCAGGTACGGTTTTGAGTTTGGGGTGTTAGGCATCTCTGCGTCAACTCTCCATTGCATGCGCAAGCCTCGGAAAGGTGAACCAGGGCCTCGTGAAGGACTGGAACCAGGCGCTCCGAGACACCGAATATCTGAATGATGTCCATGCGATAAGGATGACTATAGGAGAACCATAGGGGCATTATGGAAATCCGGAAGGAGTATGCCCTCATCCCTTTCAGCTCCTCCTCACTGTTGGAAGATGCGGTTGCCGTCAAAACGGAGCCCTGAAAGACAGCCTCTAAGATGGGAGACCTGGGCTCGGTGCTGCACAGTAGTCCACACGACAAGTGACTATGGCTCATAACATATAGTGAACATGGTGGTTTCCTCTTCGGCTGGGCTTTGCTTGTTTGTATCACTCCTTTTCGAGCTTACACGACAACGGCAGACAGACACGGATAGGAAGCCTTTTCGTCGCTTATCTATGTTGGTTCGTGCTTGAAGAGCCCTAGTCGCAGACTTTGTGCCAATCTCCGGCCTTGCATAGGCACACCCAGAGCTGTCGGTGCAGAGAGGGGATAGGCCGGTCGGGCCGAGCGGGATTTGTGGCTGGAGGGTTGAAGTTCTCGGGGTTTAAGGTTTCCGGGGCAGTTCAGGGGTATTGAAGCAGCTCCTGGGTCTTCAAGGCCTATTCACGGTTTTGTATGGTAGGCAGTCTCCTTAGGCAACGGTGGAACTTGGTGTACAGAAGGATGCCACGAAGCTCCGCCTTAGAGGCGAAACCAGGAACTCCCAAATGTCCCTTGAGGTTTAAGGTTCAGGATTCAGGTTCCTCATCAGGTGTCCGGATCCCGATCTCGTAGTGATGCCGGGGCTTGTTGGATTTTTGTGCGGGCTTTAGTAGGTAGTGCACGGGATGAATTACTTACAGAGCCCGATACCTTGTAGTCGAAGACTACAGATTTTGCGTGTCAAAAGGATCCTTACTATGCTTCCAGGCTTTCTCGTTCACTGATATTTCACGCTGCCACAGTTGCGAAGGTTAATCAAGGTCAATGGCGTTGCTTCGAATGCCGCCGAGATGACGGAGGCTGGACATGGGTTTAGGAACTACGGCTTTTGCCTTAACCGCAAACAATTCACCCTGGCATAACAGGACAATGATTTCAGGATGTAGGGTAGCGGGCTTTTGTCCTTGCAGTTTCCATGTCAGCTTTCGCAGCATTAACGGCTATGCCGGACCGAAACCTCAGGCCATACCCTACTTGCCGAAAGTAACTACATAGCACGAAGTAGGGTTAAAAAAACACGAACAAGGCTTCGGGTTTGAGTGAGGATCCCCCCCACAAGTACTCAGGACGCGGAGGATCACTTGTCCACACACTAAGCCCTAAATCCTAAACCTGGCTGGCGAGGACCGGGATGCCTTCGGAATCCAGAATAGAGGTCTGAATGATTAGTCATAAGACACCCTTATCGTCCGCTTCTGCTTCTACCTATGCTAAGATGTGCGCGCTACAATGCTGTTCTAGTTGTTGAGGCCCCTAAATTGTGGTGGAGGTTTGCGCATCTTCCGCCATCTTACGCAGAAGCCTTAAGAGAAGAACCCTTGTAGAAGCCTTTGCAGGACGTTCTGCTAGGCGCTTAACGTAGCCTTTTTGAGCTCTTATTGGGAGGAATATCAGGACACTACGAAATCATCGGGCTTCGACAGCTCAAGATGCAAGGAGCGGAGTCTCGATACCCCAGGAGTTCACGTGCTTTGGGAAGGGTTGCGGAAGCGCTAAGAGCCCAATTGCCGAAATACTAGGTTTCTGTGTTTGTTCGGTGATGGTACCGAGCGGGCTCTACAGGTTTCAAGCAACAGTCGTCAGACTTGGTCATTGGGCTTCGAGGGGCAGGTCAGAAAAAAGATTAAACCCTCGAAAAGCCTCAACCCTAAGCCCTTAACCGTTAAATGCCCATAGCTCCAGGTCTGCAAGAAGCAAGACGAGCTTGAGATCACGGTGTCCCGGAAATAAGGAACACTGTGGCAATCTTGTGGCTTGTCCTGCAAGGTGTTTAGGTGTTCTAGTTGCTCCGGGATTCGGGGTGGGTTTGCGGGCTTCAGCCACACCCTCTCTGATGGCAGACGACAACTATAAGACCCCAAGCGGCGACTAGGCAAAGACTTTGCAATGCGCCTAAGGTTCAACCATGTAGCCAGCTGAGCTGCCAGGGATAAATCTCAACAAGGACGGATGCGAGTTCGGGGCGTGCACATGCTGCCAAGGTTGCAGATATCACTACGAGGGCTTGGTGGCCCGCACGTCTCACACGTTTCCTGGGCTTGAGGCCTTATAAATTATAAATCAGGCATCTCAGAGAACGGCCGATGACCAGATTCGTAGCTCTTCGGGTTTAGGGAGTGTAGGGGATTAGGATGCAGAGCACGAGAGGTTTCATACTCCAGAGCTATTCATGTTATTCAAAGCTTCTTTGCTCTGACCTTCCTGCAGACCTTTCGTATTGCTAGCCTTGAAGTGCATTGCAGGTTGCCTTAAGCACAAAAATACCGGTAGCGACGCAGACACACACACACACAGAGACATTTCCACGCGAAGCCCAAGTTACACGAAACACAGTGTTGGAGTTCTTCGGGCTTCGGGGTGAGCTGCGTTTCGGGCGTGGGGCAAGCTTGCAGCTATGCTGCGTTAAATTTCTCTGAACCCTGGCCCTTCTGTTCGCTCCTCTCCACTTGAACGATGAGGGGCTTGGTAAGTAGTGTTGTAGCTTGGCCGACTACACTCGCAAGATTATTTCGATAGTTACTTGTCACCCCCCAGTAATCGTCGAGTTAAGATACCATGAACTGCACTTCGCACTCTCCATGAACCTGCAAAGCATGCCTGGGGGCCGCCTGAGCCCAAAACTGCCTGCACATGGCCGAATTCCGGACTATGTGCCTGCATCGCATGTTCTCTTCATTCGGGTCCTTTGTCGAGCCCCCAACAGAATACATCAATCTTAAGCTGCGGACCTGAAGAGGGACCCGACTTTCGATGGGGAGGGCTGCACAGGAGGGCAATTGGGCTCTGCAGCCTCTCTCGTGAGACTGCAGCCATGACCCACGGTTTGCCAGAAATCCTTGAGGCTTTAGGCCCAAGACGGGGCTTCTTGCCCCTAAGCCTGAAATCCCAGGCCTCTCAAAGCCAAGCCCGAAACCGCAAACCCGTGAGCTGTTCACTTGAAGCCTCAGTGGTCAGAATAGGGTTATAGTATACTTAGAATCGTGGAACCTCTCAGGAAACGTGTTGGTAATTCGTAAGCCCTGCGTGTCAGGGTTCAAGGGCCATTTAGGGTGCAGGCTTTCGGCAGCCCATCAGCCCCAAGTCTCCTACCTGCGCTATGGTTGAGACTAGGTGGTCCTTTGTAACCCTCAGAGCCCAGTTACCTACATAGTAAGCCATTGGGTTCCAGCTACCCAAACTAGTAAGTTTCTCAACCATATATTGTATACCAACAATGATTTTGCATGTAATTTAGGGGCCTGAAGAACTACCTATACTATTTGGGGGGGGCTCCTGATTATAATTAAGGTATAATGGGCCTCAGAACCCTATTCCATTCATAAAGGCCCCTATAGTACTGCAGTAGGTCTTTCACAAGCCACAAAGTCCGTAGATTGGCCCTGAAACCCCAAGATCCGACAGAAAGATCCGGAAAATGTAAAAGCCCACATCTGCGCTTCTCTTATGGAATCCCTCTACTTGCCGGAACTGCTGGGTTATGCAAACACAAAGGCTTCTCCAAGATTCCTATAAGAGACTTTAACTCTGTTTCCTACAACTATCCATGCATGTTATGTTGGTATAGTTAACTTCCTTAGCACGGACCCAGATAAACCCCAACCACATACCGGACGTTGGCCAGCCCCTCTCCGCCGGAGTCACTGGGGTCTCAGCTTGTACCAAGCATTGCTCGACTGAGAGGACAGACGGTTGAAGAGTTTCTACGCTTCGGGTTTAATGCCTAGGGTTTAGGGCTTACAGTATTGGATTTAGGGGTATTTAGGGTTTAGGCCTCGAGATTCGCAGGGGTAGTTACGGTATCATCAATGAAGCTGGGACCCCGCCACAGATAATGCTCAATGAATCTCGAGGGTATTCTGTGCTGCAAAGGCAGATGCACAGATAATCACAGATGCCTCATTGCATAGCACTGGCGCAGAGCAGCCGCGGGGCTAGTGCAATTTCCGCTGGCTTGGAATGCATGATACGCACCAGACCTATGTGCCAAAGCCCCTCAACCTTTTGATGAAAGCAGCTGCTGGGGTTCCGGCTCTGCACCAACACTCGGAGTGCAGTCTTCAAACATCTCCAGTTGCTATTTGCTATGCTTCAGACTTTGCGCACCAACTCCTTCTCTCCCGGGGGTTCAGAAACATAGCCAACAGCACCCTTAACTTGTGCAGTGGTCACGATGTTGGTTTGCCCGAGCTCTTGATTGAAGTTTTGGATTCCAACAAGCAGGTTCTAGATCCCAAACCCAAACATGCAAGTATTCTGGTACAACTGCTTCCCAAACATTCCTGCTGATTCGTGACTGCTTTTGCACTCATTGCACGCCTGCGCATGAAATGCAGCGCGAAGTGCCACCATATTGGTCCTTCTTTAGTAGTAGTAGTAGTAGTAGTAGTAGTAGTAGTAGTAGTAGTAGTAGTAGTAGTAGTAGTAGTAGTAGTAGTAGTAGTAGTAGTAGTGGTAGTAGTAGTAGTAGTAGTAGCAGTAGTAGTAGTAGTAGCAGTAGTAGTAGTAGTAGTAGTAGTAGCATAAGAATATGAAAATGGTTAATTAATGTATAGACCCGAGGTCGCAGGCAAAAGAGTCGCTCTTCTACAAGTCGAATGCAATAAGATACACACTTCTCAGCACCGAAGTCCTAAAGCCTCGAAAGTCGTATGGTGCCCAATCCTCAAGCATGCTTCATAAACATCAAGGCTCACGCCCAGAATCTCCTGCTTCTGGTGGTGTCGTGGAGCAGGTTGCATATGAAGGAAGTTGCAAACTTTAGAAAAACGGAGCTACGCTCCCGAGAAATATTGGTGAATGTATATTCATTGTTTTCATTATGGGGATACTCGCAGAACAAGACGGCTGGTTGGTGAAGCGCTTCGAGACTTCAGACTTAGTGACCTCGGTGCAGCCCATAACTCGGCCAAAACAGCCAGAAATAGTGTGGGGGTTTGGTGGTGTTGGCTTGATGCTCTCAGAGAGCCCGATGCCCCTCTGGATTATGGAGTAAGCTTCACATCAGTTAGCTAAGATGCCCAATGCTGCATTGCGAGTCACTAAACCTGAGCCGAAACCCCCAGACCACGAGAAACGAACCCAAAGCTCACATCTCAAGCTGTGCAATCCAGCACCTCTCGTATACGGTATGAATGTATGTATGTATGTTGTATCTATGTATCCATGTATGTATGTATGTGTAAGTGTATAAAATATATGGATGTACTTATGCACATATGCATATACATACATACATACATACATACGTACATATGTTTTATATACATTTACATTTATTTATGCATAAGAACCCAAATACTGCCGTTACAAGCTACCCTAGAACTCTCAAGCCTAAGCCGTCTCTTTCGCTTGTCTCGTCGGAGCACTTCGGTACTTGCTGCATTGCGGGCCGGCGAGGAACCGCATCTGGGGTGGCGAGGAACTGACCCTTGGGGCTTTGGTGGCGCTTGATCTTGATGTTTGGGGGCTTAGATTCAGACACTGGCATAGCAGCCTAAGGCCCATCACAGCAAAAGCACGTTCTGAGCATGCTGAATTGCGGCTTGCGTTGACAGAAGTGCGGAAAGTATTCAGCACTTTAGACACGTACAGGCGGCACAGCATCGTCGGATGTACAGTCGGTTTGTCGCGGGATGAGGCGGTGGTTGAGCTTCAGTCCTCGCTGCCATCCAGAGCCATGCACGACTCGAAGGTTGTTCCAAAAAGCAAAGTGAGGTTTGGGTCTTCCCTTGTGCAACTGACACTGCAAGTGGGTTTGCCTAAGTTTAGCGTGTGCTACTGTTCTAGTTTCGGCTCGTCGGCATTCACAGTGCTGGGTTGTCGCTTTGGGATGTATCTTGCGTCCTGGGTAACAAGTGCGGTGGGTCAAGCCCGAGCGTTCCGGTTGTAGTGCTTTGGCTTTACGGTGCAGGGATGTCTGTCTAATGTTTACGGGCTGCCTATGTCGCACAGGGCAAAATCCACAGCGAACAATTCCACGAAGCACGTCCCATGCCAATGTCCCAGGTGCAGGATTGTCGAACAGCCGCAGAATTCTTCAAAATCCTCAACTCTAAGGCAAAACTCTAAAACCCCCAACACAAGCAACCGCCCTACCCAAGCCATGAAAGCCCGACGGCGAGAATGCGACCCCTTGGAAACACAATGCAATCAATGCCGCAGCCAATCCGGCTCGTGGGCACGAAGCAGAACCAATGCTGAACAGGACGGTTTCCGAGATCGAGTAGTTGCTTTTCTTGCTTGCCGGTGGGGTCCAGGGAAAAGTTCGTTGTTGGGGTTTGAGACTTCTGATTCCTGGTTTTGCTGCTCGGGAAACGCCTTCACAGTGCAGCCCGGTTCGTGGCTTTTGGGAGCTCTGGTGACTTGCTTTCGGGACGGTGGCTGCAATCAATGAGCTTCCGAGAGAAGGGGTTCCCAATATGATTTTCAAACAGACGGGTATGAAAACGTATGGACGGGATGTGTCCACGCACGAGGAACCGTCCGTCTCCGCTTGTAGAAAGTAGAGGTGGTGGCCAACTAGCAGAGCTCCCTAGGCTTCGTCAGCTCCGCAGGCGTGCTACTCTTGACAAAATTCTCGCTTAAATTTCCCGATTTTTCAATGGGCACTTCCAGACCCCGACCAACAAGTTACCGAAGCAGTCCATTAATGATGCGTGTAAAACTGTTTTTCTGGTCGTCATTAGCGCGAAACCTTGAACTCTCAGGAGCTTAAGCACTCAACCATGGAC